TGCAGAAGAAGAGTATTGATACTTACCTATCCAGGGACATGGAAGGGAAGTAGCTGCCATACCCCACCACAGCACATGTTTGGGAATGCAAGTTTACAACACACACGAGAGATGATAAAGATTCTGCTGGTTGTCATAGCTGGGCAAGATTGAAGATCCAAGATACAGGTGGTAGAAGAGGTAAATATTATTAATTTTTTTTGCAATTACTTTTTTATGTTGCTTTAACCACCCGGCTACCTGACCAATTCTGACATTTCTGGCAGAAATCAGCATTATTTTGTTAGAGAATTAGGATGTCCAAATGTTATATATATATTTTTTTTTTAAGCAGAGGCCCTAGAGAATAGAATGGTGGGCGTTGCATTTATTTATGTGGATCTACAAGTTATATGGCTGTAGACCGTCAACTTTATTGCAAGTCAGCTAAGTGGAATAATCACATCCTTGTTGTCTATGTGATGCACAATTCTTCCTAATATTATACAGTTTGTATACAGATATACATCTTCCTCTAATACAAATTGTGCTTACCTGTGAACAAACTCTATGGGATACCAAACAGCAAATGTGAATTCAACTGATTTCTTTACCTGTGCAATCCCATAAGTTCAAAGTCATATGGTGGCCAACTGTCAGGGCTGGGCTCCTGCTACTTATCAATCAGCTCTTTTCTTTCAGTGTTCAGAAGCTGCTCAGCTGTCAGTTAACCCCCCTGGAGGTATTCCTGAGTGTAGCTCGGGGTAAAGCTTCAGCACCACAAGCGGTAACCCCCCCGAGCTACACTCGGGAATACACTGCAGTGTTGCTCTGGGAACTCTTCTTCACTTACCTTGTCCTGCGCTCCCGCGATGTCCCTCCTGCAGTGTCCCCGACAATATCCTCCGGCCGATGCCGGCATCTGTCTTCTGGGTTCCGTTCCTTGTGACGCCGGGACGTATGGGGGACGGAACTGGCGGGAAATTTAAAAATGTTAAAAAGTGACATTCACTAAATACACTAAAATCACATAGTATAACATTCCTGTATCAAACCATTTCACATACATTGTGTCCCGAGTGCTTTGTCCGGCGCCCTGCCTGCATTTTGACTGCTCTTTCTGCCTGGAAAATGAGAAACGCCCATGGCGTCCAAAAAGCGTCCTTTTAGGTCAGACGCGGTTTTAGACCAGCTAGAGAACAGCGATAGTAAATCAGAACCACTTTGCAGAATTGAGTGATAATGATTGGTGGGGGAAATTCCTCATCAGACACTGAAAACGATTCTGCGACTGAGCTCAGCGATGTGCCAACTTGGCGCTCTATTTCACATTTCAGTGTTTTTGGTTTGATTATATTATTGAATTAAATGTATTATTATATTATTATTTTTATGAGTATTTATTAGATTATAATTTATGGTTTCGTGTTTCAAATTTTATCCTCCCCGGGATGTTTACTAGACTCTTGTTCGGACAGATTTCAGTGAGTTATTCCTAAATTACAGGCCTACAATAAAAAAACAACATATTTAAATGCAAACAAATGTACCGCTTTGAGCACAGAAATATTGACATAATCAGACCGCCAGGGAGGTTAATTACCAGCCACCAATGTCTCCACAGTGACTCACCTGGATACCATTACCTGCCTCATTAGTCCAGCCTACAGCCATCCCTTTTTGCCATTTTAGCAGCTTAGCTCATTTCCTCCTTGCCCTTGTGGGCTCTATGATCTCCAGTGTATTCCTGTGTACAACTTGGTCTGGCTGACTTCTCTTCCGATTCCTATTCCTGATTTTTGCTCCTGACTATGCTGACATCTGGTTTCCTGACCCCAGCTCATCTGATTACCCGCTCTGGCGTCCAAACCCTGGCTTCTGTTTTTTACTACATTCCTCAACTGTGTTATTTTTACTATTTCTTTAAAGGTGTGATTGTAGCCCCCCAGTGGTCTGATTATGTCCATATTTCTTTGCTCAAAGTGGTACATTATTTTGCATGGAAATATGTCGTTATTGTAGGCTGTAATTTTTAGGAATAACTCACTGAAATCTGTCCGAACAAGAGTCTAGTAAACATCCCGGGGAGGATAAAATTTGGAACACAAAATCATAAATTATAATTTAATAAATAATCATAAAAAAATAATAATATAATAATAATAAATGTAATACAATAATATAATCAAACCAAAAACACTGAAATGTGAAATAGAGCGCCAAGTTCGCACATCGCTGAGCTCAGTCGCAGAATCGTTTTTAGTGTCTGATGAGGAATTTCCCCCACCAATCATTATCACTCAATTCTGCAAGTGGTTCTGATTTACTATCGCTGTTCTCTAGCCGGTCTAAAACCGCGTCTGACCTAAAGGGACGCTTTTTGGACGCCATGGACGTTTCTCAGTTTCCAGGCAGAAAGAACAGTAAAAATGCAGGCAGGGTGCCGGACAAAGCACTCGGGACAAAATGTATGTGAAATGGTTTGATACAGGAATGTTATACTATGTGATTTTAGTGTATTTAGTGAATGTCACTTTTTGTCATTTTCAAATTTCCCGCCAGTTCCGTCCCCCGTACGTCCCGACGTCGCAGGGGACGGAACCCGGAAGACGGATGCCGGCATCAGCAGGAGGACATTGCCGGGGACACTGCAGGAGGGACATCGCGGGAGCACTGAACAAGGTAAGAGAACAACAGATCCCCGGAGCAGCGCCACATGGTAATCCCGAGTGTAGCTGGGGGGGGGGGTTCCACTTCTAGTACTGAAACTTTACCCCGAGCTACACTCAGGAATACCGCCAGGGAGGCTACACATGTCTTCAGCTGACTGTGATGTTTTTTACCTCCCTGGCGATATGATTATTTCAGATTTTTGGTGCTCAAAGCGGTACATTTTTTTGCATGGAAATATGTATTTTTTTTATTGTAGGCTGTAATTTTTAGGAATAACTCACTGAAATCTGTCCGAACAAGAGTCTAGTAAACATCCCGGGGGATGATAAAACTTGAAACACGAAATCATAAATAATAATATAATAAATAATCATAAAAAATAATAATATAATAATAATAAATTTAATTCAATAATGTAATCAGCCGGAGGACATTGCCGGGGACACTGCAGGGGGGACATCGCGGGAGCGCAGGACAAGGTAAGTGAAGAAGAGATCCCGGAGCAACGCTGCAGTGTATTTCCGAGTGTAGCTCGGGGTTACCGCTTGAGGTGCTGAAAACTTTACCCCGAGCTACACTCAGGAATACCTCCAGGGGGGTTAACTGACAGCTGAGCAGCTTCTGAACACTGAAAGAAAAGAGCTGATTGATAAGTAGCAGGAGCCCAGCCCTGACAGTTGGCCACCATATGACTTTGAACTTATGGGATTGCACAGGTAAAGAAATCAGTTGAATTCACATTTGCTGTTTTGTATCCCATAGAGTTTGTTCACAGGTAAGCACAATTTGTATTAGAGGAAGATGTATATCTGTATACAAACTGTATAATATTAGGAAGAATTGTGCATCACATAGACAACAAGGATGTGATTATTCCACTTAGCTGACTTGCAATAAAGTTGACGGTCTACAGCCATATAACTTGTAGATCCACATAAATAAATGCAGCTACACTCGGGAATACCGCCAGGGAGGGTTAACTGCACTCTCTGTCTCCGCCTGGTTTATGGTTCCTGACATCAACAATATTTTTTAATTTATGACTATAGCACAGACAGTCTAAGGAATGAATGAGAATGGGGGTCTCAGGACTTTTTGCTTGTTCTGCACAATGTTTGCAGTATATTCATATATGTGGGAGGGTCTTATATACAGTTGTATAACTTGAATGCTACTTACTGTATATATCACCCACTGCACAAGTGGAGAGTGGGGTGTTCTTAAATAGATTTTATGATATGTTTTTAACCATTTTTGCTTTGAGAATAATTAAATTATTTTGTTATGATTGTAAAATACAGTCTTTTCCTTCTATGGGGATATTGAAAGTTTTAATTTTGGGGGGCTTTTTTGTCTTGTAGTCACATAAGGAGTGGTTCTTCTACAATTTTGAATGACTGCGAATTACCCAGTTGGTTTGATTTACTAGAACTGGAGGGTGCAAAATCTGGTGCAGTTCTGCATAGAAACCAATCAGCTTCCAGGTTTTTTTTTATCAAAGCTTAACTGAACAAGCTGAAGTTAGAAGCTGATTGGCTATTATGCACAGCTGCACCAGATTTTTCACTCTCCAGTTTTAGTAAATCAATCACTGAAAGGTTTCTTCACAGTAAGAGCTGTGAGAATGTGGAATAGACTCCCTCCAGAGTTGGTTGTGGCCAGCTCAGTGGATTGCTGTAGGAAACTTCTGGATTCTTTCTTGGATACACAGAATATAACTGGATATAACATTTATAGGGAAAGTTGATCCAGGGAATATCCGATTGCCTCTCGGGGGATCAGGAAGGAATTTTTTCCACTGCAGGAGCATTTGGATCGTGCTTTGCTGGGTCTTTTTGCCTTCCTCTGGATCAACTGTGGGTGTAGGATTGTAACTTTTTTTTTTCTATGGCTGAACTGGATGGACTTTTGTCTTTTTTTAGCTGGACTAACTATGTAACTATGTAACCCCAGTGACTCCAGGCCAGGGGCGGACTGACCATTTGGAAACTCGGGCACGGCCCGAGGGCCCGGGGTCAGTAGGGGGCCCCATGAGATGCCCCTGGTACCTTTTTCATAGGCTTTTTTGAGTTTGGGAAAGGACACAGTGGCCCCATGATCCCCTATTGCCCAGGGGCCCCATGAGTTGTCAGTCCGCCCCTGCTCCAGGCTCGGCACTATTGTAGCCTTTTTTTCCTTTTTTTTTGAATATTCGCCTAACTCAAGTCAAAGTAATTGGCTGAGGGTCAGCAGTTTCACTCACTTTCATAATCTTTAATTTATTTCAGAGGACAAATAGAAACAAATAAATAAGACAATCAGATACATTACATCTCTTCACCTTCCAAGAATGAATACTTATATAACCATTAAAGCACAGCAAGGCTTCTAACTTTCTTTAGTAGGGAAATTCCCAATTTTTTGGCAGAAGTCTTCACGTCTCGATTCCTCAGGCTGTATATTAAAGGATTTAGAAAAGGAATGATTATAGTGTAAAACACAGAAACCACTTTGTCTTGCTCTAGGCTGTAGGCAGTTGAAGGTCTGAGGTACATAAACATGACAGTTCCATAAAATAAAGTCACCACCGTCAGATGAGAAGCACAAGTAGAGAAGGCCTTCTTGCGTCCTTTGGAAGAACGGATACGTAAGACAGATACAATTATGTACAAATAGGACACAAGGATCACCAACAGAGATGAGAACTCAATAAAACTGACAAAGGAAAAGAGGACCATTTGGTTCAGTGTGGTGTCACCACAGGAAATCTCAATTAACGCTATGACGTCACAGTAGAAGTGGTGAACATACGGGCGTTGCTCACAGAAGTCCAGGTGAAAGATTGATAGGCTGGTCTCGACAAAAGCATTGAGAGAGCTTCCTACGTAGGATAATACCAGTAGGATCAGGACAGTCTGCCTGTTCATTATTTGGAGGTAGGTCAGTGGGTGGCATATGGCCACATACCTGTCGTAGGACATGGCTGCCAAAAGAAAACACTCAGTTACTCCAAATCCAGTATACGACAGCATCTGAAACCCACATCCAGCTACTGACATGGACTTGTTATGCGACACAAAGTCCATCAGCATCCTTATCGTGATTGATGAAGAGTAGCAGATGTCAAGGAACGATAAGTGACGCAAGAAATTATACATAGGAGTATGGAGTTTCCTGTCCATACTAATGACCACCATAAGTCCCGCATTCTGAAACAAAGTCAGGGTGTAGATAAGGAAGAAGAAGACAAACAGAATACATTTTAGCTTGGCGCTTTCTGTTAATCCATCCAGTATGAACTCCGTGACGACAGTCTTGTTGCGCAGACCCATCGTTGTTCGAAGAAGAGGCTGATGTGTTATGGGGTTTATCGTACATTAAAGCATCCTTTGGCTTCTAACAGCAAATATAGCTTACCTAATGGAAAGTATTTAAATGATATTTAAAACCTGTCACCTAACTGAAGCCATTTAAACTGAACTGCCACGATATGGGTCTCTACCAGTCCCAGGTATTAATTCCTTGTTCCTAATCCCTCCTGGCCATAGGAAGAGCTTCCTTCAATTAGTATTCAAACCTGTGTGCCAAAGACCCCTAGCTGTAATTAACTCGCCCCTCCACAAAAGGTCCCAAATTCAATTAGTGTATACATCCCTAATTAGTGCCTTACTTTTGTATTAATGTATTTCCCCCACTAATTATCCTGCCCAACCAGTCCTTTCTGTGTACAGCTACAAATTAAATTACTGTAGTTCCATTCTCTTCATTGTCACCTGCTAATGACCCCCCTCCGCCTCTCGTCCTGCTCAGGGGGTTTTAAGAGGCCAGTGCTGGCCATTCTGCTAGGCAACCACTGAGAGGTCCAGCTGGACTCTAGTGCCCCCCTGGCTCTGCCTGAGCCCCATTGGAGGATGAGGGATCCCAGAAGCTACATCAGCCCTGTCTGCAACGCCACCAGCTCTGCCTGAGGCTACCACATCAGCTTTGCGTGAGTGTATGCTCCCCTTGTGCTATCTGACTGCTTATGAACTGCCTCTTGGATTACAAATTGTTGTAGAGCCTTTAACTTTGCCCACCAGGGCTGGATTACAAGTATTTTGAACTCTCTCTCCCTGCACTACTCCCCATTGAGTGACTGATGTCTGTTTTAATAAATCTTTAAGTGTTTGCCGTCTGCCTTGTGTGTTCTGTCCCACTTACCCTCCGTCATATGAACATACGGTGAAAAATTGGATCAGAAGACGTTGCCTTCAGGAAAAACTACATGTCAATGCTCGACAGATCCAGAGGTCTAGGGAACTGAAGTTATTCACATATTTTAGCTTCTCCTTTAAAAGCTGAACTTGGACCTGTCCTCTCTTCTTAAGCATGTTAATTGACCATTAAGGCCACCCATTAAGGACCGATATAGAAGCTCAGGAAGCATAAAGACATGAATCTATACCCACCTTTTCTTTTTCAATAATTGTTGTTTCAGTTTTTTAATAGTAATACAAAATGAAAAATGTCATTTTGGACCATAAAATGTTTGGGGTCCATTAAGGGCCACAGGGTGAAGTCATTCTGAGACAGTGGGTTTCGATGCTGCCTTTAGAAGACTTGACTAAGGCAAGACAGCCTATTCTAACCCCTCCCACATCCATCTCGTCTCAGTTTTGTGGCAATCAGATCAATAGTAAGAGTAGATCATAAAAAACAGAAGGGAGGGACTTGTACTTCTTGGTGAACTCCAAGAAAAATCCCTTTTTCCTAATGTTTCATTAAGGAATACTAGGTGAACTAATTCTGGGACACCGGGATGTACAAAAGAAGTTCAACTGAGGGATGGGCAACACAAAAATCAAACCATTAACATGCTCACAAGTAACGGCACGTTTACAGAGTCAAAATTAAGATCCAGAGCCACTCGAACAACCTCACGACTGAAGTTGGCATCAGAAGAAGACTGAACATCCACCTGGTAACACAACGTGTGAACTGAAAAAATGGCGGCAGCCTTCTATATCAGAGAAATAGATGCCTGAAGCTGAAAATCCCATAAAGAACTAATTGATGTAGTGGAGTGCGCTTTGACGGGGAAGGTGGAACTTTGTCCTTAAGCTTTTAGGCTTGAATGATGAGCTGCCAAGTCCTCCTAGAGATAGTATAACAAGAAGCAGGCTGTCCCTTACGGTAACCTTCGGGAATGACAAAAACAACATCTACAGTATAAAGAAAGCTGAGAGATAAACTGGAACAGCATGTACCACATCCAGAAATTCGAGAGAAATCTCCTTGGGACATTGGAGCAGAGAGATTGGAGAACAATGCCCTAGTTAAGATGAGGAAAAGAAACGCTTTAGGACAAATGGGGCCTTGGGTCTCAACACAGCCCTGTCCTTGTGTAGCACAAAAAAGGGTTCCTTACAGGTCAGAGCTGGTACATTGGGCAGTAATGATGTATAACCTAAGGTATGTGAAATTCATAAAGTTTCCCCACAGCACACAAGGTTAACCCTTGAAGAGGATAACATAATACACACAGCAGGAGTGCCAATCCCAAATTGGAAAAGTCCTGTTACTCATGAATGGTGGCTTGGATTGAAGCTAAACCTATAGAAGAGCAACGTCACCCCCTGGGCGGACATACTCTCAAAGGGATTTTCAGGGACAGGAATGGGTGTGGGAAGCACAGCACATCGTTGAACAGGACGCGGGGGTGGGAGCTGTCATAACATTTCTGGATCAGATGTGGGAAGCACAGCATTAAATAGGGCGTGGGGGCGGGAGCTGTCATAACATTTCTGGATTGGGTGTGGGAAGCACAGCACATTGTTGAACAGGGCGTGGGGGCAGGAGCTATCATTACATTTCTGGATTGGGTGTGGGAAGCACAGCACATCTTTGAACAGGGCGCATGGGAGGGAGCTGTCATAACATTTCTGGATCAGATGTGGGAAGTACAGCATTAAACAGGGCGTGGGGGCGGGAGCTGTCATAACATTTCTGGATTGGGTGTGGGAAGCACAGCACATCATTGAACAGGGCGCGTGGGAGGGAGCTATCATGATATTTCTGTATCAGATGTGGGAAGCACAGCACATCATTGAACAGGGCGCGGGGGCAGGAGCTATCATTGCATTTCTGGATTGGGTGTGGGAAGCACAGCACATCGTTGAACAGGGCGCGGGGGGCGGGAGCTGTCATAACATTTCTGGATTGGGTGTGGGAAGCACAGGACATAGTTGAACAGGGCACGGGGGCGGGAGCTATCATAACATTTCTGGATTGGGTGTGGGAAGCACAGCACATCATTGAACAGGGCGCGGGGACGGGAGCTGTCATAACATTTCTGGATTGGGTGTGGGAAGCACAGGACATAGTTGAACAGGGCACGGGGGCGGGAGCTATCATAACATTTCTGGATTGGGTGTGGGAAGCACAGCACAGCATTGAACAGGGCATGGTGGTGGGAGCTGTCATAACATTTCTGGATCGGGTGTGGGAAGCACAGCACATCGTTGAACAGGGCGCGGGAGAGGGAGCTATCATGATATTTCTGGATTGGGTGTGGGAAGCACAGCACATCATTGAACAGGGCGCGGGGGCGGGAGCTGTCATAACATTTCAGCACATCGTTGAACAGGGCCACTTCTTCCACCAATTCTGTTATAACAGCAGAGCGGACAGCAGGAGACTGAACGTTTCTGGATTGGGTGTGGGAAGCACAGCATAGAATTGATCAGATGTGGGAAGCACAGCACAGAATGGATCAGATGTGGGAAGCACAGCACAGAATGGATCAGAGCACGGGGGCGGGATCTGCCATAACATTTCTGGATCAGATGTGGGAAGCACAGCATTGAACAGGGCCCGGGGGCAGGAACTGTCATAGTATTATGTCTGGATCGGATGCAGGAAGCACAGCATTGAACAGGTCGTGGGGGCGGCAGCTGTCATAACATTTCTGGATCAGATGTGGGAAGGACAGCATTGAACAGGGTGCGGGGGCGGGAACTGTCATAACATTTCTGGATCGGATGCGGGAAGCACAGCATTGAACAGGGCGTGGGGGCGGGAGCTGTCATAACATTTCTGGATCGGATGCAGGAAGCACATCATTGAACAGGTCGTGGGGGCGGGAGCTGTCATAACATTTCTGGATCAGATGTTGGAAGCACAGCATTGAACAGGGTGCGGGGGGCGGGAACTGTCATAACATTTCTGGATCAGATGCGGGAAGCACAGCATTGAACAGGGCGCGGGGGAGGGAGCTGTCATAACATTTCTGGATCGGATGCGGGAAGCACAGCATTGAACAGGGCGTGGGGGCGGGAGCTGTCATAACATTTCTGGATCGGATGCGGGAAGCACAGCATTGAATAGAGTGCGGGAGCTGCCAGGGTTAACTTTTTGTATTGACCAGCAGGTGATTGGCTGCTAGCACTGCCCCGCTTCCAATCTGCTGCTGGTTAACGTCAAAAGTTAAACCCCAGCAGTTCCCGCACTCTATTCAATGCTGTGCTTCCCGCATCCGATCCAGAAATGTTATGACAGCTCCCGGCCCCCCTCTCTGATCAATTCTGTGCTGTGCTTCCCACATCCAATCCAAAAATGTTATGACAGCTCCCGCCCCCAAGCCCTGTTCAATGCTGTGCTTTTCGCATCCGATCCAGAAATGTTATGACAGCTCCCGGCCCCCCTCTCTGATCAATTCTGTGCTGTGCTTCCCACATCCAATCCAAAAATGTTATGACAGCTCCCGCCCCCAAGCCCTGTTCAATGCTGTGCTTTTCGCATCCGATCCAGAAATGTTATGACAGCTCCAGCCCCCGCGCTGTGATCAATTCTGTGCTGTGCTTCCCGCATCCGATCCAGAAATGTTATGACAGCTCCCGCCCCCCGCGCTCTGAGCAATTCTGTGCTGTGTTTCCCGCAACCGATCCAGAAATGTTATGACAGCTCCCGCCCCGGCGCTCTGATCAATTCTGTGCTGTGTTTCCCGCAACCGATCCAGAAATGTTATGACAGCTCCCGCCCCCGCGCTCTGAGCAATTCTGTGCTGTGTTTCCCGCAACCGATCCAGAAATGTTATGACAGCTCCCGCCCTGTGCTCTGATCAATTCTGTGCTGTGCTTCCCGTATCCGATCCAGAAATGTTATGACAGCTCCCGCCCCCGCGCTCTGATCAATTCTGTGCTGTGTTTCCCGCATCCGATCCAGAAATGTTATGACAGCTCCCGCCCCTGCGCTCTGATCAATTCTGTGCTGTGTTTCCCGCATCCGATCCAGAAATGTTATGACAGCTCCCGCTGTGTATTTACCACAAGGCAAACAAGGCATTTGCCTAAGGCTGCATTTCTCAGGGGGGCAGCGCTGCACCTCGGAAGAAGGGACACATGCGGCATGGGGACCTGGTGGGCTCGGAGAGAGGTTGCGGGTTTCATGACGGTGTATGCACAACCCAACTCTTGTTCCCGGGGATGTCCGGAGCTGTTAAGGTGAGTGTCTCTCTTTGTTCGCCATTGGGGGGATGATAGCTGGTGTATGGGGGGGGGGGGGGGGGGCAGTGGTAGTGGAAGGCTTTCTTAGGTGGGAGGCAGCGGTGTTTTTGGTCAATGTCAGGCTCTCTTTGCGGGAGGCGCCAATTTTTTTGTTGCCCAGGGCAGCACAAAACCTAAATACACCACTGAGAAGGGTTCCAAGTGTTCCAAGTCTTTAAGGTGTTGCTGCTGCCCCTAGAGACAATTGAAGGAGTTGCAGTATGGGCCCCAGCAATTGCTGGGCTTAGAGCCTAGAGGAGATTGCTGCTAGATTTTTTCTGGAGGGTACTATCCTGAAGTCCTGGTCTGGAGAAGGACCTTTTACCTCCCTCACTAAGGATCTACTTGTGGATGCTGGGTGGCAGACAGATACTGGGACATTGTTAGTAAAGACCTGGCTGTAGACTTTTGGGTGTGCACTTGCTGTAAGGGAGCTAAGTGCCAGAAATGTAATCTCCAAACACGGAAAGGTTTCTTTACAGTGAGAGCTTTGAGAATGTGGAATAGACTCCCTCCAGAGTTGGTTGTAGCCAGCTCAGTGGATTGCTGTAGGAAAGTCCTGGATTCTTTCTTGGATACACAGAATATAACTGGATATAACATTTATAGGGAAAGTTGATCCAGGGAATATCCGATTGCCTCTCCGGGGATCAGGAAGGAATTTTTCCCCTGCAGGAGCAAATTGGATCGTGCTTTGCTGGGTTTTTGCCTTCATCTGGATCAACTGCGGGTGTAGGATTATAACTTTTTTTTTTTTTCTATGGTTGAACTGGATGGACTTTTGTCTTTTTTCAGCCAAACTAACTATGTGAATATGTTGCTATGTGGACTGTTGCGTATGGATATGTCATTTCCCACATGGAAGAAAAATATATTTGAAATATATTTTAAAAATATTCTTCCCAAATATATTGCCATATACTGTATTTGAAATACTACAATTGTGGCCGTATTCAATATATTGTAAAATATATTTCAATAAACGTATATATATATATACTGTGTGTTGAAATGCATTTTTATTACAGAATATATGAAAAATATTTTTAAAAATACATTTCAAATATACTGTATGTCTTTAAAAATACAAATCTAAATTTTTTGAATGCATCTACAAATGTATGTAAAAATATATGTTTAAAATGACTTTTTTATGTTAAAAAAAATCTGAAGAATATATCTGAAAAACATATATATAAAAATATTTTTCATATATTTTGTAATATATAAAAAACGCATTAAACGCATGTATATACATACATACATACATACATACATACATACATACATACACATTGCATGTTGAAATGCATATTTTTAAAGACATACAGTAGATTTGAAAATGTATTTTTAAAAATATTTTTCATATATTTTGTAATAAAAATGCATTTCAACATACAATATGTTGAAATATGTTGAAATATATTTTTAAATATATAGAATATGGGCAAAATTGTAGTATTTCAAATATATTTTTCTTCCATGTGGGTTGTCCTTGTGAAGGGGATCACTACCTTGCAGGGTGGGGGGTGGGGCATGATTTTAAACTTTTGAGGTTTTTATAGTTGACTAATAAGTTTATGTAAAAGGTAAAGGGTGCGTTTTGTTTATTATTGGTCTGAATTTTAATTCATATAATTCTGGTGGTCTGGTGGGGGTTCAATTCAAGATGGTATACAAATTAATAATTTTAAGTTGCATTTTTGGGATTGCTTTAACCAGTTCTCCACCGTGTTATAGCCAGGAAACGGCCACAGCGCTGTCAGCTAGTTCTGGGAGGGCGTCCATGGATGTCCTCTCAGAACCGCGCCCCCTGGGGCGCACACCGGGCGCGATCTGTGACAGCTGTTCACCGATCCAGGTAAAGGGCCAATGCGGTAAGCGGCATTCCTCAGAGGGGACATCTACACTGATCATCCCTGCCCTGGTAATGTAGCCCCATCAGTGCCTATCAGTGTGGCTAATAGTGCCCATCAGTGCTGGCTATCAGTACCCATCAGTGCTGGCTATCAGCGCCCATCAGTGCTGGCTATCTGTGCCTATCAGTGCTGGCTATCAGTGCCTATCAGTGCTGGCTATCAGTGCCCATCAGTGCTGGCTATCAGTGCCCATCAGTGCTGGCTATCAGCGCCTATCAGTGTTGGCTATCAGTGCCCATCAGTGCTGACTATCAGTGCCCATCAGTGCTGGCTATCAGTGCCCATCAGTGCTGGCTATCATTGCCAATCAGTGCTGGCTATCAGTGCCCATCAGTGCTGGCTATCAGTGCCCATCAGTGCTGACTATCAGTGTCCATCAGTGCTGGCTATCAGTGCCCATCAGTGCTGACTATCAGTACCGATCAGTGCTGGCTATCAATACCCATATGTGCTGGCTATCAGTACCCATCCATGCTGACTACCAGTGGCCATCAGTGCTGGCTATCAGTACCGATCAGTGCTGGCTATCAGTACCCATCAATGCTGGATATCAGTGCCCATCAGTGCTGGCTATCACTGCCTCTTCAGTGATGGCTATCAGTGCCTCCTCAGTTGCTGGCTATCAGTGCTACCTATAAATGCCCATCAGTGCCACCTATCAGTGCTGCATATCGGTGCCCATCAGTGCTGCATATCGGTGCAGCCTCATCAGTGCCTCTTCATCAGTGCCCATCAGTGCAGCCTCATCAGTGCCCATCAGTGCAGCCTCAACAGCGCACATCAGTAAAGGGGAAAAATCACTTATTTACAAAACTTTATAACAGAAACTAAGAAAAAAAAATAAAAACCCCAGTGGTGACTAAATACCCCCAAAAGAAAGCTCTATGTGTCCCCCCAAAAATGGGCTCAGTGTTCCATGGCCGCGCAATTGTCATTCAAAGTGCAACAGTGCTAAAAACTGAAAATTTGCCAGGGCTGGAAGGGGGTGCCCGGTAGGCAAGGGGTTAACTAATACTTTTAGGTTGCATTGTTGGAATTGCTATAATTAATTTTAGCAATTTCAAAAACACAACCTAAAATTATTATTTATAGCATTCCATAAAATGCAACCTAAAATTATTAATAATTGTAGGTTGCATTTTTTTAATACTATAACTAATACAGTCAGGTCCATAAATATTGGGACATGGACACATTTCCAACATTTTTGGCTCTATACACCACCACAATGGATTTGAAATTAAACGAACAAGATGTGCTTTAACTACAGACTGTTAGCTTTAATTTGAGGGTATTTACATCCAAATCAGGTGAACGGTGTAGGAATTACAACAGTTTGCATATCTGCCTCCCACTTGTTAAGGGACCAAAAGTAATGGGACAGAATAATAATCATAAATCAAACTTTCACTTTTTAATACTTGGTTGCGAATCCTTTGCAGTCAATTACAGCTTGAAGTGTGGAACGCATAGACATCACCAGACGCTGGGTTTCATCCCTGGTGATGCTCTGCCAGGCCTTTACTGCAACTGTCTTCAGTTCCTGCTTGTTCTTGGGGCATTTGCCATTCAGTTTTGTCTTCAGCAAGTGAAATGCTCAATCGGATTCAGGTCAGGTGATTGACTTGGCCATTGCAGAACATTCCACTTCTTTCCCTTAAAAAACTCTTTGGTTGCTTTTGCAGTCTGCTTTGGGTCATTGTCCATCTGCACTGTGAAGCGTCCAATGAGTTGTGAAGCATTTGGCTGAATATGAGCAGATAATATTCCCGAAACACTTCACAATTCATCCGGCTGCTTTTGTCAGCAGTCACATCATCAATAAATACAAGAGAAGCAGTTCCATTGGCAGCCATACATGCCCACGCCATGACACTACCACCACCATGATTCACTGATGAGGTGGTATGCTTAGGACCATGAGCAGTTCCTTCTCCATACTCTTCTCTTCCCATCACTCTGGTACAAGTTGATGTCGGTCTCATCTGTCCATAGGATGTTGTTCCAGAACTGTGAAGGCTTTTTTTACATGTCGTTTGGCAAACTCTAATCTGGCCTTCCTGTTTTGAGGCTCAGCAGTTGTTTCCATCTTGTGGTGAACCCTCTGTATTCACTCTGGTGAAGTCTTCTCTTGATTGTTGACTTTGACACACATACACCTACCTCCTGGAGAGTGTTCTTGATCTGGACAACTGTTGTGAAGGGTGTTTTCTTCACCAGGGAAAGAATTCTTCGGTCATCCACCACAGTTGTTTTCCGTGGTCTTCCGGGTCTTTTGGTGTTGCTGAGCTCACCGGTGCATTCCTTCTTTTTAAGAATGTTCCAAACAGTTGTTTTGGCCACGCCTAATGTTTTTGCTATCTCTCTGATGGGTTTGTTTTGTTTTTTCAGCCTAATGATGGCTTCACTGATAGTGACAGCTCTTTGGATCTCATCTTGAGAGTTGACAGCAACAGATTCCAAATGCAAATAGCACACTTGAAATGAACTCTGGACCTTTTATCTGCTCATTGTAATTGGGATAATGAGGGAATAACACACACCTGGCCATGGAACAGCTGAGAAGCCAATTGTCCCATTACTTTTGGTCCCTTAACAAGTGGGAGGCACATATGAAAACTGTTGTAATTCCTACACCGTTCACCTGATTTGGATGTAAATACCCTCAAATTAAAGCTGACAGTCTGCAGTTAAAGCACATCTTGATCATTTCATTTCAAATTCATTGTGGTGGTGTATAGAGCCAAAAATGTTAGAATTGTGTCCATGTCCCAATATTTATGGACCTGACTGTACGTTTAGATTGCATTTTTGAAATTGCTATAATTAATAACTTTCAGTTGCATTTTTTGGAATACTATAATTAAAAATATTCGGTTAAATTTTTGAAATTGCTATAATTAATAATGTAAAGGTTTGGGATTCTTACATGAATCATTTTAGGCTGCATTTTTTGGAATACTCTTATTATAGTTAATATTAATTATAGTATTCTAAAAAATTTCAATTTAAAATGATTTTAGGGTTGAATTTTGGGAATTGCTTCAATTAATAATTTTAGGTTGTATTTTTGGGATTCTCATCATTGTTAATTTTAGGTTGTATTTTATTTTTCCATTGGTTGAACTAGATTGACTTACATGGTCAGATGGAAAAAAAAGACACAGCTAATTTTTGCCATTGCTACATCTAATGTTTGGGTTCGACTTTAATCTCACATCATCATCGATACAACTTCTTTTTTCCAGCCGTTGTTCTCTGTATGACCTGTTCTGTGACGGTTCCTTGCTGAGCATCTCTGCATTAAGTGCTATTCTGTGCGTTTGCTTGCTAATTCGACTAATTGCTCGTCATCGTACATAATACGTGAAAGTTCTGTCATTTTATGTAGAGAGGAAAAACACAAGGGGCCAATTATTAGGGGGGGGGGGGGCAGATGGCAGGTCGGTAACATCAGAGAATTCTTTTTTTTTATCTTTCAATATTTTTATTGAAAAATTGGTATACACAGAAATAGAAACATTGCCCACCTACATGGTGAGATGGGGTGAAAAAACATATTCATAAAATATATAGGCACGGGAGAAAACATTAGTCGATGATGTTGTAACAGGAAACACCATCCCCACAGGACAGCAAATGTTCCATCAGTCAGTAAACATAGGCCGTTCCATACAGATATTTACCAACAATAAGAAAACCAAAAAAGAAGATAAAGGATTAAAAATAGAAAAATCGAAAGAAAAGATCCAGGATAAGTCAGAAAAGAAGGGGGGAGAAGGGGAGAGAAAAGAAAAAAAAAAAGAAAAAAGGGAGAGAGAGGGTCAGCCGTAGTACCATTAACCTCCCTAGCGTCTGATTATGTCAGTATTTCTGTGCTCAAAGCGGTACATTATTTTCAATGGAAATATGTCATTTTTTTTATTGTAGGTCTGTAATTTTTAGGAATAACTCACTGAAATCTGTCCGAACAAGAGTC